AACCTTGCAGTCCACTGCATTATCCTACAGCACCACACCAGAACTTCATTCTGACTCATAGCGAGTCTGTATAGGGTTCCTGAGGAGTGGCTGGTGAGCTTGAACAGCTGACCTCGTGGTTCAAACCAATCTTGCAATCCAGTGCATTAACCTATGGCGCCACACCAGGACTCCCATACTAGGTGAATCCTAATCTTATATGATTGTTGTCTTTACAAAGAGAGGAAGAGCTACAGAGATGGAGAGAGAGAATGGTTACTAGGTGAGGTTCCCGCTGCGGCTGAAGCTACTAGTGGCAGAGGCAGGGACAGTCTCCCTCTGACCTTCAGGAGTAATCGACAAGGTCAAAACCCTAACCTTGGGCTTTTTCTCTTCAGAAAGATGAGACAACACCTTTCTGTCCTTAAAGCCAACCTGTTGGTGGTACTTTGTTACAGACACCCAGGAAACTGAAGACACTTGTTTCCTCTAGGACCGAATGTTGAAAAGTATAGTTACAAATCCATAGAAACGTTTATGAAACAAAATATCCAAATGGGAAGCTACTGTGTCTCAATACAGCCTCCATCTAGGTCTAGAAACTTCTGAAGGCCTTGGTGTCTCCCTCTCTAGCCCTTCTGGGAAGATTCCTGCACCCTTGGATTTACATATCAAAAGAAAAAAAAAAAAAAGGCAGTTTTAAAATTCTCAAGAACAAAATTCACGTTGTGTTCCTTTTCAATGTTCTTTGAGTCTGAGGAACACAAAGAAATCTGAAGGGCCAGGATAGAGTTATAGCGTGGATGGAGTAAGATTTCTCAACAAAATTCTCATAAAATAGCCCTGCTAATCCATTAGCCCGGAGTCCTGGTGTGGCATTGCAGGATAATGCGCTGGACTGCAAGATCTGTTTGAGCCTCAAGGTCTCCGGTTCAAACCCACAAGCCGCTCCTCAGAAACCCTATACAGGGTCACTATGAGTTGGAATTGACTTGACAGCATTTAACAACAACAACAACAACAGTCCATCAGCTAGCTCCTCCTCCAGGATTCCCCCTTCACATTCTCGGGCAGTCAGAAAGAAGGCCAGTCTGTGGGCTCAGGCACCATCTTCCCGGGTGGCTCGGGCAACGGGCTGCCCATAGCTTTGGACAAATTGGAGACCCTCTTGCCAACCAGGGTGCCCAGCTGACCCCATCCAGAAACATTACCATGTCTTTTCTGTTCTTTATTCCAGGATTCTCTGGAGAGGGGGAACCCCAGGGAGCAGGTTCATTGCCATGATGGGCAATATTCTTCAGCACACCTTTCCTGGACTCTTTCTTATTAACACAGTTGTAAAATTTCTTCAAACTTCTTCATAATTATGCTTGCGATTGTACTGTGTCCTTGAAGAAAATGATCAAGATGACCCCTTGGGAGTCCCCAAAACACTGCTGCCGTAACTTTCTGAGCTGACCTCTCTGCCTTGAATTGGACTGGCCCAGAAGCTCAGAAGCTACTGGTTTGATCGGGTCATTTTTTTGCGAAGGCATCCTGATGAGACTGTGTTTGTTGTTAAGCATTGTAGTGGTTCCAATTTATAGCGAGCTTGAATAGATTGCAGAGGATTGGCTGATGGGTTTGAACTACTGTCCTTGCAGCTAGCAGCCCAGTGCGTGTCCTACAGTACCACAGCAGGACAAGTGTTTTCAGCAGCTATCCACTGATGGCAGAGACCTGCTAAAACACACTGTTTGGAATAAATCGTACACGGAAGATCTGGGATCCTAATAGCAACTCCGCTGACTTCCCTAGAATTCTGAACGTTATGATGCTAAACCCATCACTACCAGCAGCCCAGGAGGTTTCAACAAATCACAAAGGTAAATTGTCGACCCCTCGACACTGTGTTAGACCTCATCCTAACACCCTAGCTCTCCACAGGGATCTCTGGATGCCCTGGCATATAGCAGGTGTTCAATCAATAATGTGGAATGAGTTCATGATTGTGCCCTTGCTGAGTCCCTGGGGTATGCAGGCCAGTAGGCCTCTGCAGGCTGGAGGGCCGGAGCACCCACTCCTGTCCAGGGCACACAGAAAGGGGCTGGGGGCACCGGTTCCCACAGAGCGCTCAGCCAGGACAGGGACCAATTCTGTCCACAGACCCATCTGCAACTTCAGAAACGTCTGAGAAGCCAGCTCGATGTATCACGTACAAAAGCGACGAGGTGGTTGTGATGTGAATCTAGAACTCGCTTCTACTCAGAGTCCGAGTTGGGGACAGCAGGCAGGAGCTTGGGGTGGGTTCCTTTTTCACTCACTGCCAATCCCCCAAGTCACCAGGAATGTAGGATTCATCCAAAACGAGACAGTCTAGGAAGAAACTCTCAGACCCAGCCAGACAGCCAGGCATGTGTGTATGTATGTGTGTGCGCACCCCCAGCCCTTCTCCCCACACCTGCCCAACAACCACCCAGCTCTGCACTGAGGGTGTTGGGAGGTGTCCCTAACACTAAGCGCCCACCTTGCCAGGCTGCCAGCTGCCCGATCCCTGTGGGGCTTTCTCCTCTCTGCCTGAGGACAGCCCTGGGCAGTCAGCCTTCCTCTTTGTGCTCCCTTCCCAGTTTTCGGTTTTCCTCTCGCTTCCTGCAGGATAAAACCCGATAATACTTTAAACCCCTGTTGTAAGCTCAGTAAGCGAGAGCTCTGTGCTGGATAAAACCCCCTGGCTAGTCGGTAACAATTCCCCAGGTGTTTATATTAAACACATTAATGGAGGAAGAGATCTCTGGTATGAACCGAGTCTGCCTAATCCCTGGAGAGCTTCTTAGAAGGGCCGACTGCTCCCAGGGGGAGGCATGGCAACCGCAGCTTCCACACAGACCATCATCTTATGAACCAGATGATGATGGAAGAGGAGACTGGGGAGATGTGTCTCAAGGAGTGCTTCTGGGCTCATCTGTCCTTTACAAAAAATAACTGCTGGCTGCGTGTGCAGCAATTTATCTTTGTGATTTGTTGAAACCTCTCAATGTAAGTGTCTCTTCAGAGGCAGAAAAGATGAGTAATTTCTACAGTGACAAGAAAGCATAGGAAAAACTCCCAAACCAAGCCCTTCAAGACCCAGGTAATTAGCAGCTCCTGATTCCCACTCACGTGACACTATTTCCCACAAGCAATCACACTTGAACTCTAGAATGAGGCCCTTTAAACTTAAGACCGCTTAAAGGAGGCACCTACAGTCCAGGTGGGGTGCTGTGGGCTAATGCGCTGGATGACAAGGTCGGTTTGAACTGCACAGTTGGTGGTTCAAGCTCACCAGCCGCTCCTCAGAAACCCTACACAGGGTCACTATGAGTTGGAACAGGCTTGAGGGTACTCAGAAGTTAACAGCAGTTGTGTGCACTCGGATATTTTAGGAGAGGATTTCACATTGTCATTACTCCCCTTATAAAAAAACTCAAACCCTGTTGCTGTTGAGTTGGTTCTGACTCATAGCAACCCTGAGCACTGGAGTAAAATTGTCCCAGCTGAGATTCCTTAGCTATCATCTAAGGAAAGGAGTTCTGGTGGTACTGTTGCCTGAATGTCGAGCTGCTCACATCAAGATTGGTAGTTTGAACCCACCAGTCACTGTGAGGGAGGAAGAGGACACTGTCCACTTCTATAAAGATTTCCAGACTCCGGAACTCTAAGGAGAAGTTTAAATCTGTCCTACAGGGTCGATATTTGCTGAAATAGACTCAATGGTGATAGATTTGATTGTTTTGGTTTCGGGAATCGTTAGTGAGCCGACCACCACGCCTTTCTTCCGCAGTGCTGACAGATGTGTTTGAACCACCAATCTTTAGGTTAAGAGTCAAGTGCAAACCGTGTGCACCACCGAGGGAGTTATCTTTCTGACTCTGCTCATACAAAGGAGACTCAAGACATAGGATTTTATGGTTTGAATTGTGTCCATCGTCTCCCTGCCCCTGAAAATATGTGGTAGAATCCTAACCCCAATACCTATGGCTGTAACCCTGTTTGGAAACAGGGCTTTCTTTGTTATGCTGTTGGTGAGTGCTATCCAGTGGGTTCGCACTCACAGTGACCCTGTGGAGGGTTTCCAAGGAATGACGGTGGCTTTGAAACAATGACCTTGGGGTTTGCAGTCCAGTATTTATCCTACAGAACCACACCAGGACTCCTTTGTTATGTTTGGTGGGTTCTAACTCTAATCACTTTCTGAGTTATAAAAAGATCAGATGAGACCCAGAAGCCAGTACATGTGTGGGTATGGGAGGGAGGCCATGTGAAGATTGTCCACAAACAAGGAATGCCTGGGCTGCCTATAAGGAGGAACCAACACAGCAAACACTGGACTTATACCTTCCAGACTGAAAAATAGACTGCTGCTGTTGAGAACCACCCCCACTTGTGGTATCTCCGTTACAGCAGCACTAAGAGACGGAGACACTTCAGCTGCATGACCCTCACAACACCATGTGTCAGAGGAGAACTGTACTCCACAGGGTTTCAAGGGCTGAGTTTTCAAAAGGAGACTGCCACGCCTTTCTTCTGACGCACTGCTGAGTGGACTCGAATTTCTGGCCTTATAGGCTCTGGTAGAATAGTGGTTACGAATCGGGCTGTGAACCTCAAAGTCAGCAGTTCGAAACTACCAGCCACTCCAAGGGCTTTCTGCTCCCGTAAAGATTTACAGCCTCGGAAACCCTGTACAGGGTCGCTGTGGGTTGGAACCGACTCGACGGCACTTAACAACAACAACTGTTAAGTAGCCAAGCGTGTTCACTATTTGCACTGCCCACGGGCTTCTAGGAAGACAGAGTGAAGGAGAACTAGGCTTGGGAGCAGCTAGCTTCCAGGACGCAGACCCTTCCTGCTCAACAAGCTACCTTTACAATCATCTCAAGTCCCTGGAGCTGACCCCTCGGCCCAGCGGCTGCCCTTTGAGAAACCCTCCAGGTGTGAACCGGAAGCCCCCATGCACTGCACAGCCGCTCTGGCCAGATGAGTGCGGCCCCCGGGCCCCTTACCTGTGTAATCTTCCAGGCATTCGCAGGTGTAACCGCCCTCGCGGCTACGGCACCGGCCGTGTTCCCCGCAGGGGCTAGAGTAACACAGGTCGATCTCAGTCTCACAGTAGTCGCCGGTGAAGCCGGGTGGGCAGCGGCAGCGCAGGCCGGTGATGGGGTGGATGGGTCGGAAGAGCACTGTAGTGGAACTGATGAAGGGGGCGGAGCTGTCGAAACGCAGCACGGACACGCACTTCATGTAGTTCTCGCAGGGCTCCCGCAGGCAGATGTTGTCGTCGAAGGGCAACACGCGCTGGGCGGAGATGGTGGTCAGCAGCGTGCGGTTCAGGTAGATGTGTTCCTGCAGCTCCTCGGACGGGAAGAAGCGTCCGCGCCCGCCACCGGGCAGCAGCGCCGAGAAGGTCACGTTCAGGATGTTGGCGCGCACGTCCGTGTCGTTCTGGATGTTGAAGACAAAGACGTCGTCCTTGGCAGTGGACAGCACGGCCGCCACGCCCTCCACGAAGAGGCCGAGCAGCGGGGACAGAAACCGCTCCTGTGACATGTTCTCCAGGCGGACCGTGATGCTGTGGGTAAGCATGTCGTCGGTGATGATAGTGACGCGTAGGGTGCAAAGCGCAGTGACGCTGTGGATGCCGTCTGCGGGACAGAGGAGATCGCGGTCACACGGGGACACCGGGGCATGGAGGTCTCCACCCACCGACCCGCAGGAGATGCTGGCTGGGTAGCTCTGCATCCCACCCCATCACCCACTCCCTCCAACTGACCTATGACCTGCATCCATGTCCTAAAGGGCAGCCCAGACATGCCACTCTGCTGACCAGAGCCTTCAGTGCACCCCCAAACTGACCAGCAGGGCACCCTGACTACTCTGATCCAGCCCCTCACCACCCAGAGACACCACATCACACACATGGGGGCAGAGCCTGTGTTTCACGTTCTCTGAGACCCCCCTCTCACACACCAGGATGTAGCCCATTCCACCTCTTCCAAATCTGCTCCAGTCACCAGAACAACTCTCCTCCCCTCTGCCCAAGGAGGGCTTCTGTGGATGATGTTTCAGAAGTAGATTTTCCAAAGGCACCTCTGGGTGGGCTAGGAACACCTGAATAATCATTGAAAGGTTGGAGGTTTGAGCCCACTCAGAGGTGCTGCAGAAAAAAGATCTGGTGATCTATTTATGAAAACTCATCCACTGAAAACCCTGTGGAGCACAGTTCTATTTTCACACACACGGGGGCACCATGAGTGGAATCTACTTATGAAAAATCACCCACTGAGAACCCTGTGGGCACAGTTCTATTCTGACACACATGGGGGCGACATCAGTGGAATCTTAAGAAAAATTAGCCACTAAAAACCCTATGGAGCAGGATTGATAGGGATGGGCAACTTAGACTGACTACCTAAAATGGGGGGAAGTGATAAAAGCATGAAGTGACTGGCTTACAAGTTTTCAAGAGGGAGTTTAGTTTCAGAGTATGGGGGAAAGAAAGGGTCCCCACTGAATCGTTTTCATCTTGTCTCAATGGGTCTGGTGAAAGGAGATGGGAATAAGAGTCTTATGATTCAATTATGAGTAATTGTTACCATGACTAATTACGATTGTCATAACTTGTAAAGGTAGAACTTTTGTAACATAAAGAGGGGAGTAGTTAATCTTACATTCCAGGAACAGAGGACTCTAGGATCATAAAGATAGAAGAGCACCAGTGGAATGTGGGACCAGATCTAGATCCAGAGATGGAGGCAGAGATGACAACATAGAGAGGGAGCAGCTGAAGATTCTAGACTCATGGAAAGAGAAAGGCTGTGTGCTGGCAGCCAGGAGGCAGGCTCTCAGAATGTGCCCTTTGGTTTTTAAATGATTATATATTCCTGAGGGGTTTTGTGTACATCCAAAACAAAAACAAAAACCAGAGGGAACAAATGCAAATATTGTTGAATGATGATGCACAGAGGAGACTGTAATCATTGCAATGAAACAAAATAACATAGGATGAATGTAAAACTAATGCTCTCCCATATAAACTATCACTCAATTCACAATAAAAACTTCAAAAAAAAAACCACACCAAAAAACTCTGTGGAGCACAGTTCTACTCTGACACACATGGGACCACCATGAGTGGAATCTACTTATGAAAAATCATCCACTGAGAACCCTGTGGAGCACAGTTCTACTCTGACACACACGGGGTGCCATGAGTGGGAATCTACGTATGAAAAAACCATCCACTGAGAACCCTGTGCGGCACAGTTCTCCTCGGACATAAGTAGGATCACTGGGAGTCAGTGTTGACTTGATGACCATTGGTCTGTTTGATTTTCTGGTCAAGTGAGGAGACCTGGAAGCCCACCTTGTCATTCCAACACCAGCAAGGCCAGAGCAGCAGACAGAAAGCCCATAAGATGACAGGGGTGAGGGTAAGGTAGCAAACACTTCCTGACCCCAGCCTACTTTTCTCAGTTCCTATGAGCAATGACTCATGTTGGGGAGGGCTGAGTCACTGACTTGTCTAAACACGGGAGGAAAGGTAGGCCCTGCAGGGCTCACAGCTACAGGCTCTCCCCTCAAACCTGAGATTCCAGGACGATCGGCACTAGCCCTATGGTACAGGTGAGGGAATCCGAGGCATAGAGAAGCTGCGTTTTGTACTCAGTGGTGAACCTAGCTCCGGCCCATCTGGATAATCACCCCGCCACTCAGCCAGTGCCTATGTCAGACCTGAGCATGGCACCTGTGATTCCATTTGGCTTTATGATAACCCTGGCAAGGCTAAATTTAAAAAAAATTGAGATAATAATGCTTTTAACCTTGGTGTTGAGAGGGTATTTGCAAGCCGCCATAAAACCTGGGAGTTTTAGGAGACACACTCACAGATGTGTCTCCGGTTTCTATAGAGCACAGAGTGAAAGCTTGGGAGCCTCTCCCTTCCAAAAAACAAGGTGAGTCTGAAACACTGACCCAGCCAAGGGGAGCCTCCGGAGACGAGATGTCTGTAGGATCCTGGCACAGAAAATGGGTATTAGGGGGAAATGAAGGCAATCTAGCGGGACCAGTCCCTGGAGAAGGACATCATTCATGCCTGGTAAAGTGAACAGTCAGCAAAAAAGAGGAAGACCTCCAACAGATTGACACAGTGGCAGTAGCAGTGGGCTCAAGCCTAAGAATGATGGTGAGGAAAGAGCAGGAGACGGCTCTGTTTCCTTCTGTTGTACATTGGGTTGCTATGAGTCAGAACCTACTCGATAACACCTAACAATAACAACAAGAAGGAGAGTCGAACAAAGTACAGACTTTAGTTGACAAGAATGTATTGATACTAGTCCATCAATTGTAATACACCCACCATAGTACCGCTAGGGATTAAACTGTGTCCCCCACAAAGTGTGTGTTTGGAATTCTAACCCCTATACTTGTGGATGTGATCTTGTTAGGAAATGGAGTTTTCTTTGCTTGTTAATTAGATGATACCCCAACAGTTGTTAAGTATTATAAAGTCGGTTCCGACTCATAGTGACCCTTGTACAGGATTTCCAAGGAGCAGCTGGTGGGTTTGAATTGCCAACATTGTGGTTAATAGTCTAGTGTTTATCCTACAGTGTCACACCAGGACTCCATACCCCAACAGAGTGGACTCCAAATGTAATCACTTCTGAGCTATAAAAAGAGCAGATTCGACACACACACATTTAGCCTCCAGAGAAAAGAAGAAAATTAATTTCTGTTTGTAGTATACCCACGCCTCACTTTGGCATTATTAAAAATAAAGGATGAGCACATCAGATCACAATATGAAGAATGACTACTTCATTACATAACTGCCAATGACATCATCACGTAAGCGCCAAATGACATCATCACGTAAGTGCCAAATTTCACCATGACATAGCTGCCAAATGACATCATTACAGAACTGCCAAAGCACTGGGAACTGCAGACCAGCCATGTTGAGACACGACTTTAACCGTCACAGCCATTGTTACTCTTGCCTTGTACCTCGGTGGCCATTTTTGCCAGACGCACATCATTAATGTGCAAAATTGTCAATTGCAAATCTCCATACCGTTGTTGTAAACCCAAGATGTTGGGTAACAAGTGAGGAGTAGGAATATTTGTTTTACAGCAGCACGCAGTAACTAATAGAGAAAACCGAGCTATGCCATAGTTACTATTTTTCTGTAAATAGGATAAGCACCAGACTGCTAACTACAAGGCTGGCAGATTAAACCCATCAGTAACTCCTTGGGAAACCCTCTCCAAGGTCATATGAGTAAGAATCGACTCAACAGCACTTAACCGCACTTTTTTTGTTGTTGTTAAAAAAAGCCATCAGCCTGAAAGAAGTTATCTGTGGCTTATATCACAAAAAACTTGGATTCTTCATAAATTAAGAATACCTATAATAAAGAGCCTGGTGGAGCTGTGGAGTAAGCACTGGACTACGAACCACAAGATCAACAGCTCAAACCCACCAGCTGCTCCGAAAAAGAAAGATGAAGCTTTCTGCTTCTGTAAAAACTTACAGCCTCTGATACTCTCCCTACTCAATGTCACTAGGAGTTTTGGTATGGGTTTGTAAGTCAGAAAAGAGCCCAATGGCACAGTGGTTAAGCACTCAGCTGATAACTGAAGAAGGTCAGCGGTTCAAACCCACCAGCGGTTCTGTGGGAGAACGATGTGGCAGAGGACAGCTTCGGAGACCCTATGGTTTATACACACAATTCAATTCTGCCCCATGTGGTTACTGTGAGTCAGGATCAACTTGATGGTTTTCAGGTTTTAAAAGTAAGTAATGAAGAAAAATAAGATGCCAAAAAGAAACACAGGCACAGGACACGATTCCAACCCATAGCGACCCTATATAGGGTTTTCAAGGAGCCACTGGTGAGCTTGAACCATCAACCTTGCAGTTCAAACGACTTTGTAGTCTGACGCATCAGCCCACAGTGCCACACCAGGACACTGTGGTGGACTAGAGTTAATTCCCCTCCCCAGCTCTTCATCTGGCCTGGCTCCTCAACCACTTCGCCTCACAGAATGTGGCAAAAGTGTCCTTCTGGACTTCGTATCGGGGCCTCGAGATGTCTGGGGAGTTAGTCCTCACACACTGTGATGAAGAAACCACAGGCAGAGGTCCCAGTCATTGACCCGGTCCAGTGCCCAACTCACTGAGGTCCGCCATAACCCCTCCAGGCCCTCAAGGCCCAATCACCCCAGTGGAGATCAGACACCACGCAGCAGGGCCACGCCAGTCCACGTGGGTCTGGTGAATGCTTGACCCACAGACGGTGAGCAAATGGTTAACACGTTCAGCTGTTTGCCGAAAGTCTGTGGTTCAAGTCAGAGGTGCTTTGGAAGAAAGTCTGAAATCCGTATGGAGCACTGTTCTATTCTGACATGTCCAGGGCCACTACGTGACCGAATCAACCTTAAAGCCATGGGGCTTCTTTTTTAAGTTTTGTGGTACATCCTAACCCCACAACTGTTGAGTTTCTTCCAACTCACAGCAACCCTTCAGGACAGAGAGGAACTGCTCCAGGGTTTTTCCAAGGATGGAAATCTTTACCAAAGCACACTGACTTGTTCCTCACTAGATCTTTGGTTTCCTCTGGCTTTTTAGTCAGCAGCGCAG